GCTAGCTCTGCTATTTCCTCGCGGTTTACCTGTGTTGTCTGTCTGTCTGTCTACGCCCTCTCTACACTTCCCAGCTTCGCACTTACACACTATCTCCATCTCCCCCATCCCTGCCCTTTTCGACACCCTAACCCGACCTCACCCTTCACCCGTCTATCCTTTTCTCCATCTCCTACACTCCGACACCTGACACTACTAATGCCTCTATATGCAGATATTCGTCAATGTAAAAAGATAAGACTGGGCTCACCCTTCTGCTTTTGATGGGTGTGCTTTTTAATGTTTTGGCCTTTGTTTCTCTTTCAGGGATCTATTCATTCTATCATCGGTTATGGTTGTTTAATGTCTTCTAATTAAATTTTTCTCCAAAAAATTCGTTTGTTTATGTACCTCTATCTTCATTCCACACCATCGGATTGTTTGTGTTATTAATTCATTCTTTATTCACTTGTCATTCTCCCTTCAGTTAATTACTATTGATTTTTCATGCAAATAATCTTCTTATGCTCTCCGCGGTCGGCCGCCCCCACGCACTCGGGAGCGCCGATCCCGCCCAGTAGCACTTCTCCCCCTTGGTTTTGCACGTTTCGATTCATCGGGGAAAAATGCAAGTAATTAGCAAATTAGCAGAAAAGGTTTGGGGAAAACATGAACAGGTCCATGAGAAATTAGGGCTGCCATTATGCTTGCGCGGCGCTGCGGTCAACGCGCTCACGAATGAGCTTCGGCGCGACGTCGTTTTTCCCCTCGCCGCGCTTCCCCCCTCCCCTCTTTTCCCGTTCGCGGTGCTGCGCACATGTGGCGCAAGTACCACTCGTCCCACACACACCCACACAGTCCCCTCACACATTCATATACATGCAATATATATATGTATATATACTCGTGTCTATATATGTATATATATAATATTACTAGTATATATATATATATATATAGGGTATTATATAATATATATATATACTAAAAATCTATAAAATATAATATTATATACTACTATAATAATATATATAATATATATATAATATACTAGTATATATATATTATATTATATACTATTTACTATATATCCTATATTATATATCATATATATTACAGCATGCATGTAATGCAGTAATGCTGTATATATGCATTGATCATGTTGTATTTATGCATATGCACACATTGCAGATCTTCTGACACATTTTCGTCCAAAAAAAAAAAAAAAACAAAAAAAAAGTCCCGAGTCCCAATCCATTTCGTCGCCCTCCGCATTGATCATCATCCGCCGCTGTCAGAAAGATAATCCTGACACTCTCTAACTTTGATAAACAACAGTTGAGTGAAGTTTATGTTGGTTGCGTCCCCTCCTGTCGCAATGCCGGCGGGATGTGACGCGAATGCATGACACTCAAGTCCGAGATACTTCTTTTGCAAGAAGCGTGGCAATGATTAAAAAAAAAAAAAAAACAAAAAAAAATGGAAGAGAGGAGGACCTGAAGATGGGCGGCTTCTTTTCTTTCTGTTTTTGGCTTCTCTCCTTTGGGCTCTTTTAGTTTATGTCCTCTCTTTTCTTTTTATTTTCTATGTATGGCATTACATATCTTATGATCTTAAATAGAAGCTACTGTCATATCATGCTATCGGCAAACGTAAAACACACACATATAATTCATTCTATATATCTAAATATAATAAATATCATATATATTATTATATACTATATAATATATATATATACATATATATTCTATATTATATACATATGAATATATATTAATATATATATTATAATATTATTATAAATATATATAAATATATATACATATCTATATTATATTATATTAAATATATTATATATATATATATACCATATATATATATATATAATACTATAATATTATATAATCTCCGATCCCACTCACTCTTCTCACATCCTCTCTCATCACTCGACTCCGCGCCCCTCTTCATCCTCAGAAGTCTCTCGGCTCCCGTAACCCTCCTTCTATTAAACTCCCCTAAACCACCATCCCTCCTTCTCTCTTTGTATTTTTCCCCCTCACTCCTTTTTAATTAAAACACCACTCATTATAAAAAAACTCGAAAAGAATGATGCCTTCTCACAACACCACTCGCTTTCTATAGGGGGAAAGGGAATTTCCACACGATAACGCGCAGCACGCCGTTCAGGTCGTCAAACAGCTGATTTTTCCATCTCCTTTCCTTCCTCTCTTCTTTTTTTTTTCTTTCTCTCTTCTCTCTTTTTCCTTTTTTTCCCTTTCTCTTCTTCCCTCTCCCTTCCCCACCCCTTTCTTCTCCTCCCCTCTCTCTCTCTCTCTCTCTCTCTCCTCTCTCCTTTCTGTCTTCTCTCTCCTTCTCTTCTTCTCTCATCCTCTCTTCATCTCTCAGGTCGCATACTCGGAATAATCTCATCTCAGTCCAGTCATCCAACTCTACTCAGACTCTATCTCCTATCTCTTCATCTCTCTCTTCCCTCTCTCATCTCATCTCTCACCGATCAACTACACTCACTACCTCACATCCATCCTCAACTACAACACTCCCAAGATCTCACTCAGACAGCAGCCTCTCTCCTTCTACCCTGACCCCATCATCTATCCATCCCCCTGTCCCTTCTCCCTCTTCTCACTCTCATCTCTCTCATTCCTCTCTCCTCTCTCCTCTCTACTCCTCTCTCCCTCTCCTCCCTCCTCCTCCTCCTCTCCTCCCTCTCATCCGAACCAAACCAAGCCATGACGACGAGGACGAAAAACGTGTCTTCGGCAACGTGTTGTTCGAAGCTAAGACACAGTGAACCAAAGGCGCTGTTTATTCCCTCCCCCCCCCCCCGTGTCTGTTTCGCAGAAATCGAAAGGCGTGGCGTGTCAAAGGATTCAAAAGGCGCGACACACACGACTTACGAAAGGCGTTTTGTAATTAATTATGTAAGGATGAGGTGAAGGACAAAGCGGAGAAAGAAAGAACGCGAATGGGAGGTGGGAAGGAGGGTGAGTGGTAAAAAAAAAGAGAGGGAGGGGAGGAAGAAAAGAGGGGAGGGAGGGAGGAGGGGAGGGAGGGGGAGGAGAGGGAGGAAGGGGAAGGAGAGAGGGAGGGGTAGGGGAGAGGGAGGAGAAAGAGAGAGAGAGAGAGAGAGAGGGAGAGAGAGAGAGAGAGAGAGAGAGAGAGAGAGAGAGAGAGAGAGAGGAGAGAAAATGAAAGAATAAAAGAGGAAAAAATAAAAAAAAAGAAAATCACATTAAGAGAAAGAGCAAGAGAGAGAAACGAGAAAGTATACGGAAGAGAAAGAGAGAGAGAGAGACAGAGAAAGCCGTTTCACTTTATCCAAACAGAAGTTCACCACTCACTCCTCCCTCTAAAGGTTTAAGAACACCACTTCCCCCTTCGCCATAACCATTAACCATCCCCCTATTTCCTTCGTACAAACCATACTTCATGCTGTCAAGGGAACCATAACTCCCATGGCCGACGTTCCCTTTAAAACCATTACGAGGAGGGAACATTTGTCAAAACCAATTAATCTGGACATGAATAACTACCATAATGCCATGACTACAAAAATTAACATTTGTAAAGCAGGTTCCCATCACTTTATATAGTATGCTATCGTCTTTTTTTACACACAACACACACATACACAATACACAGAAACAAACACACACACACACACACACTCATTCAATCACACACACACACACTCATTCAATCACACCACACACACACACATTCACACACTCACTCACTCATTCAATCACACCACACACACACATTCACACACTCACTCACTCATTCAATCACACACTCACTCACTCACTTACACACACACACATACACACACACACACACACAAACACACCCCAAAAGAACGTACTTGCAGTGTGTGCTTCAAGCCAATAGTGTAATCCCATCCCAGGTAGCCTTACAGGTACACGTATCAAAGAACAAACACACCCCTACTGCCCTCTCCCCCTCCTCCCCCCCCCCCACTTCTTAACCTCTTGCCCATCCCTTCTCCTCTACCCCTATTCTCCCCCCCTCCCCTTTTCCCTAACTCACCTACCCTTCCCCCTTCCCTCCCCCCCCCCATCCCAGTCCTCTCCCTTACCCCCCTATCCTTTGCTCCGCCTCGTCTCTCCCCTACCCTCCCCCCCTCCTTAGCCCCCGCCCCTTCTCGCACGCTGCTCGATGACGCAATCGAGCGAGCGACCCCTTCCCCCCTCCCCCTCCCCTCCCAGCCCTACCTCCATCCCCGCCCATTGCCACCGCGACAAGCATCAAAAACAATGGGCATAGAAAAGAAAAGAAAGGAAAAAAGTGTAAAAAAAACAACAACACACACACACAAAAAAAACAAAGAACATTAATTATATCCACGCCTGTTCTTTGTTTGGGCCAAAGAAAAGCGAAAGAAAGATTACTTGTTTTCGACACCTCGCACACGTAACATCACAGGAAACTCTCTATTCTGGAGTTCCCAGGATCCCGCAACAGCTGATAACTATCTCCCTTAGTCAAGAACATGCATCATGCTTTTATGATTATCAATTCATTTTTTTTTTTTATTATGTACTCATACATCTGTCCATTATGTTTAGAGAAGTACGTTTAACATATAACATATACATTATATCACATATACAGACATACACTATATTTACATATACATTCTTATATATCTATCCATCCATCTATCTATCAATATATGTACAGTATATATATATATATTCTATACCCCAAACTGCAGTAGTAATTTTGACCACATAAATGTATTACAGAACATGCACACAAACCACATAGAGAATAGACATCAGTACACACACATGAATACACAAACACACACAGACACACACACACACACAGCACCCCCTCGCCATACACAGAACCCCCCCCATCCCCCTCCACAACACCTCCTCTACACACACACACACACACACACACACAACACACACACACACACACACACACACACCACCACGCCCGCCATCCCGCACACGAAATCTTACCTTGTTGCAGCTGCTCTTGCCAATGACCGAGCACAACTTATTTCTGGCGAACTCCTCCACTTTGACGGTTCGCTTTTCGACACTATAGCCCAGCGGCCGCAAGCTGTCGTTCAGCTGGTTCCGCGTGCTGTCGTTCGTGCTCGCGCCGCGCACACTCGCGCAAAGCGGGCTGTTGGCGCTCGCGGTGAGGGCGGCGGTTCGGTGGGCGCCGACGCTCAGCGGGTTCAGCACCACGTTCGCGCCGTTCGGACTCTGCTGCGGGCTGACGCTGCTGTTGCTGTGGTTCTGCTGGTTGTGGTTGTTGTGGTGGCTGACGCTGTTGTTGTTGTTGTTGTTGTTGCCTCCGTTCACGCCGCCGTTCTGGTCACTGTTGTTATTGTTGTTGTTGTTGTTGTTCAGTTTGATCTTGTAGACGGTGGTGCCGCCCTTCTGGATGCCCGGCAGGCAGCTCAGGTCCTCCCGCTTGCGGATCTTGACGATGTAGGCGGGCATGGCTGGTGGGCGCTTAGGTGGGGCGGGGAGACGGGCGGGCGGGCTGGGTGGGTGGGAGGGCAGCAGCGAAGGCACCACGGCACCTCCGCGGCACCGCCTCTGCGACCACTGGTGCCAAACTGACTCCTCTCGTCCGTCGGATTGCACTCGCAAGCACGCCCGTCCGGGAGGCTGGGTCAAGGTCACCGACACGGGCGCTCACGTTAGGTCAACATTCACTAAACAAATGCTTCTCGACAGGCCAACACACGGCCTAAAGTTACACGCACCTAAACGCCTTAGTCTCTCGTCTAACAG